GGGGAGGGAGGGGAGGGAGGGGAGGGAGGGAAGAAACAGAGAATGAATGCCTTTACTGCCTTTCTTTCTCTTTTTAAATTTTTATTTTTATTCCATCCAGGCCCTTCACCTATGAGAAAATGCTACCATGCTTCAGTGAATCCTCCTTGAAAATGCTCTCCCACTCTCAGTCAGTGGTGCATGTCATTAACCCATTCAATGGTTCTCGATCCAGTCAAGCTGACAGTCAAGATTGGTCATCACAAATCCTCCTCTTTGTAAGTAAGCTTGATACCAAGGCACTTCCTTAAACCATAACACCAAGGTTCTTATTTTGTGGATAAGTAAACTGATGCTCAGAAATATTAGAAATTTCTCCAAAGTAATCCAGCTAGTTGGCAGCAGACTAAGGAGTAGGAATTCAATAGTGATTCTTGGAGTAGTGTACTCTATTAGACTTGGGTAACTCTTGATTAAAATGCTAAGTGAACTGAACATACTTGGAGTCTCAATTTTCTTCTAGTACATAAAGTTTCTGAGTCTATGGATTCTTTCATCTTCTGGTTGATATATTAGCACAACCCTGTGTTCACATGGTTTCTAGCCTTGTCATACTTAACATATAGGGTGTAGACAATGCTGGTGGATATCACTTCAGTAGATAGTAGAGCCACATAACCACTACTTGTTCCACAGATTTTGGGGGGTATAGAGGCTTTTGTTGTTGTTTTTTTTTTCTAAGAACTGGCTCTACTTAGTCAATGCTGTAATTTTTGAAATTATCATTTTTGTCACTTCATAGAGTTTGACTTTTTCTTTTGTTATATTGCATGTATGTATGTTTCTAGAATTGGCCTTTTTTAGTTTTTGAGCTATGTCAACTTTTTTTTGTTTGATATTTTGAGACAATGTTTTGCTATGCAGTCTTAGCTGCCCTAAAACTCACTATGTAGACCAGGCTGGCCTTGAACTCACAGAGATCCTACTATCTCTGCTTCCCAAGTGCTGGGATTTGAGGTGTTTCAGCTATGGCAAGTTTAAATATCTCAGCTATCCAGTGTCCAGTAAGCAAAACTGAAGTGTGTGGAATGGGAACCTGTGTGTGTATATATGTATGTGTGTGCTGCAATAAGTGCAATGTATGACATTCCTTTGACAAACTATGCACATGGGCATCCTGTTTGTACTATCTTTCACAGAGCCCAGTATTTTGACTATAGCCTTATTACTATTGTCTTTCCCTTTATTCCTTAGCCCCTCTCCCCTTTATGCTCCCAAAAATCTTACTACATATGCATTTTATTTAGAAAGCCCAAACTCAACCAAAATAGAACAATGCCATATTTTTACTTGGTATTGTTGAATCATGGAAGAATAAAGCAGAAAAATAATTTTTAAAAACTACCATAAAATTTGGGAGAAAAGCCTTTTTGATTGGTATAAACATGTTATTACATTTAGAAAACAATAATTCTAGTGTTTCTAGAATGATTTGGCATCTCTAAAAATAGTTGCATGAACTTGATAAAGAAGAGATAAATTTTCTGCTTTCAGAGCCTATGACTTGTTATGAGGAAGGCCAAGTTTGAATACAAAGACTCTAATAAAACATTCTTTGACTATTAAAATAATTCTCCCAAAGCCTGTATTAAAGCTTTACAGACTTCAGGGAGGTTATAGCCTCTGAAACTGTGCCAGAGGTACACACACTTGTGAGTGATGTGTTGCTGTGAAACCCTTTTGGATGAAAATAATAAACTTTGGGTGTTAGAATATTTAATTTATTGGACGTCAGTGCCTCCTGCCTGTCTGTCTCTCTAAGCTTTAGGTCCTAGACCTAATTGTGGTGATCTTACTCAGTTCTTTGAAGCTCAACTCCTGTAAACAGAAGGGATTATTATGGTGAATATTTGGCTTTGAGTTAATTGAATGTTTAATTTCCAGTAGTGTTGAACTTGGCTGGAAAGCTTTGTGATTATAATATGCAAAGCCTCTAAAAACATGGGTTCTCAAATAATGGCATCCTTTTTTACCCCCGATTTTTTTTCTCAAATGGTATTTTTGTTATTTCCATTACTGTCTACTTCAAACACATTTTATACAGTTTTATAATTCTTTTAACATATGGCTACTGCCTACCAGCTCCTTGTGTGCCTTGGCAAATAGCCACATGCACCACTGAAGAATGGTTTTCTGGATGAGTAGTCAGGAATCTTCCTTTATTCATTTTTCTTCCCGAGGTCAACTTTTTATTTTAGACAGGGTTTCTCTGTGTAGGTCTGGCTGTCCTGGAACTCACTCTGTAGACCAGACTGGCCCCAAACTCTGCGTCCCCAATGCTAGGATTAAAGGCATTTGACACCTCTGTCCAGCAAGTTCAATTTCTTAAAGTAGTGTTAGATTAGACATTCCTCTCGGAGTACCTTTTGTCTCCCTCCTTCCCAACTCTTCTATTTTGTTAGTATAGTCTTCTTATAGCCTAGGCTTAGTGATTTATATTGTCAGTGTTATTAGAGGTTCTTGTCAACAATGAGAGTGTAAAACTTGTGGGGATATTCCCCAGTGCTTCCAGCTTTTGACATCTATGGAGTCCTCACCTGTTGTGTTTGAATTATGAGTAGGGTCCCCTCCCCCTTTTAAATTTTTGTACTTCTACCTGTGCAAAATCCTTAAGCAGAAAATGTGTTGGCTTTATAAGCCTCATACTCTATTGAAAACTTGTGTGGATTTCTGTTTTGGAAAAATATATTTTACTTAACATTAATTGAGATGTGGACCAGGTAGGGTTACTTGATATAGAGGAGGGAATTCAGAATTACAGATGCTTTGAGATAAAGACAAGGTTAGAGACAGCAAGAAATGGGTATTTTCTTGAGTAGCAAGAGTCAGGGACCAGGGCTAGCCTCCTGTAGTCTGAGGACACTCAACCCCTCAAATCCTGGATTCTTTTCCTGTTTCCAGCTCTTTGTTCACAGGTAGCCAGGAGTAGGCTGCTTCATCCCAGGGAAGTGATGCTGGCAAGTTGGGAGGAAGCTGGCTCAGAAGATAAGGAGAAGCATTAGAAGAAGGGAGCCACCTCCTTGTGATTTTTCCCCTTTGTTATCTAGGGCCTCTTGTGGTCCCCCCATTGTGTACACATGCCGTCTGCACAGGCTTTCTAACACGCTTGCTTTTTCTGTCATTTGACCATTTGGTTGAGTTTCTTTATCTTAAATCGGGTGACTTTTTTCCGCCAAAGTAGTAATGGCTTAAATATTTGTGTTCTGAACCTATTTCTGATTCATAGGGCATTAATCTACTATACTCCAGAATGTAAATTAAAACTTTTGGTCAGCATATAATTATCTTGCAATAGAGAAAAATCTGTAACAAGTGAAATATGCTTGTATGATGACTTTATATACACATATAAAAATACATGTGTATATGTACACATAAATGTATTATTTATCCATACATGTATATATGTGTATTATATATACACATAAGCACAGTGTCTATTATGCTATTTAAATGAAACCTGAATATTCATTATAGCTCTTTGTAGTTGTGAAAATAAATATAACATCTCAGAATATTTATATATTGTAATGGGAATCCTTAAATAACAAATCTTACTGTTAATAAACTGGATTAAAGTACCAGCTTAATGGAAATGAAATGTGTATTTGCTATTGATATGTTTGGCTTCCAATGGGAAAGTGATACAATTACAGAAAATTTCCACATTAGTTATACACTGCAAATGGCAGCAAAGTCTCAACATTAAAAATACCTTGACCCTAACTTTCTTCCTAGCCTTTGAATTTTCTTTCACAGACATTCTTTGAGGAAGATGGAGCATGGTGAACAGCTTGCAGAATCAATGAGGCTTAGTCTACTCCATCCAGGCTTCTGTCAGCGTCTATAGGGAGCCTGGTGGAAGGGCCTAGGGGCATCTCTGTGGCTGCTGGTGGGGCTGCTCCCTGGGCTCACAGCCAGGCACCACAGCAGGGACTCCCTCACTCTCTGGAGATGGTGAAACAGTGCATTTTGCCTCCACTACAGTTAGGGAACCCTGGGCTGGGGACACTGGGGCCTGATCAGAAGCTTTTGCCTCTGGCTTCTGGAGCTTCAGGTCCAGGGGGTTCCCGGCAGGAAGTCCCTGGCTTTGGAGCTCTGCCCCTGCAGGGGTACAGCTTGCTGTAGAGGCAGGTGCAGCCTCACAGAGCCCTACTGTCTCAGCCTGAGAAACCAGAGGAGGAAGCTCAGCACTCCCTGAAGCAGTGGAAGGGTTCAGAAGGGCTAGTTCAGGCTGCTGCGGGGTGATGTCACTTCCACCCTCAGGACCAATCACTGCTGGTTGTCTTTCCTCTGATTGGTCCAGGGTGGACTCTGGATGATGAAGGATGGTGAAAGCTGTGGCCAAGTTTTTCATGGCGTTTTGAACACTGTTGGCTTCCTCTGCACCTATTTCTTTATCTTCGGAGACATTTGACTCTGGCTCTTCGTCAGAGGTGTGCTGACCCTGCTCTTCCTTTTCAGATATTTTTGCTTCTTGGATTTTTTTGTAGAGTTCCTTTCTCTCTTCTTGTAAAGCACGGCACAGGCTCTCCAGCCTCTGGATTTTCATCACGAAACACTCGTATTCCTTAGCTCTCAGGGCTTTCTGTGACACACAAACACACAAGTGGCACGAGCAGTGAATTGCCTAGGATGCTCTCCAGAGACAAACAATTTATCCCAGAATTTGTCTACCAGGTTTGAACAAACATTTATGGAAATCACTTGGGTTTTTTGTTTTGCTTTTTTGCACTGATTATTAGACTAATAGAATTTTCATCACCATTGCCTGTTCTTTGGAAAAGATACATGGTGAGCCTTCTTTGTGCTTCAATGAAGAAGCTCTCAATTCTTAACCTACATAAATTCTCTGCTTCTAAGAACTGGATGGTAAGCAAGAGGTTGCATAAAATGAGTAAGACCAACTGGGACTTCACCCTCAGCACTCCTTTATGTATTCTAGGTTGTATGTCTTCTTGATAGATAAACTGCTATATGCTAATCACAGCAGCCACTTGACTCATGTTGATGAGTCATGAACACATGTCTTGGGAATTGGTTGCAACTTGGGATGAATAGTCAAAGTGGTAATTATAACCACAGAAACTTGCCACATACTAATTCATGATGTTGGCTGATTAAACTGTTCAGTCCTTCTTTTCTCTGGTAATAGTGGTGTGAACATGAGCAGGCATCTGCTTCTAAGCATCTTACTGTCTACTCCCACCCCAGCTACCCTATACCTATAAGACCCTTCTTACTTGTTAACATGAAGGGGTCTTCACTTGGAAGCCCTGTTATTCATGTCCGAGCTTATCTTTGCCTTTAGGGTTAAAAGACCTGCAGGTCCTGATATAACATCAGCAATCTAATACCCAGTGGAGGAGATTTTTAAAAAGATTTCCTCAAAACTGTCTATAAAATAATCTATATGTGAGCTACCTGGGCTGGTGTCACCTCTCAGTATGGTAAAACCAATGTACTCATTGTACTTGCTGGGTGCTGAACAGTAGAAATTGGAGGTCAAGTAAAACCTTCATCAAAACCTTTACAGTCCAGCAGCATGGTACCACAGCTTTCTACTCCATAGTCTTGTGACTAAGGTTCCTAAAGGTCTTTGATGCTTCCTTACATTTCTAAATGACCCTTGATCTTATTTCCACTATATTTTAGTGTGTCACATCTCCCTTGAAATTCAGCCTATTTTCAATCACAATCATTTCCACTAGTAGGTTATATTGATTATTTTGACAGGATTGGGGAAATGGAGATAAAAGCTAAGGAAAGAATTTCCTCACCTCTTCAATCATGTCCAACAGAGCTTTGTTACAGTTCTCAAATCGGGCTTTCCATGTGGCAGTATCCTTCTCCAGCTTCTTCATTTTCTTGGTTGTCTACAGAAATTAGAGTGTTTTGAGGAAGCAATTAGTTCCACATGTGACACCAAGGGCAGTCCTTTTGCTACCAGCTGGCGAAGCAAACAAATATTCAATGCCAACAATGAAGATTGCGGAAGAGGAGTGATTTATTTCCGAGTCCTCTAGATCAGTAATGAATAAACTTATTTACACCAGAGCCAATTCAGGAGGAAGGAAACTACTTAGGAACACATCATTGTTGACTTTTCTTTCATTTAAAATAAAAAAAAAATTCCTTAGTGAGAACCATGAATAAGCTTGCAATTTAGATCAGTTACTTTATTGAATAGAAGGCTATCACTGTGAGAAAGCTGGCATTGCTTTTAGGCATTTAACTGTAGATTATAATTTGTGTATACACAAAAACTGCTTTTGACCTCTTTATTTATGCTTAAAGGGTGAAGGTGAGTTCACAGAATGTGATTATTACACATTCATTTCATCTTTGAAACAGTCCAATGAGAAAGGCTCCACTCTCAATCCTTATTTTATAAATGGGGAAAGTCAGGCTCAGGGGCATGTGTTAATATCTAGACAAGTTGACAAAAGACCCAGGCTGTAGATAACTCATTTTTTGCAACAGATGAAGTAACTTTTAGTCACTGTGTATGAATGTGGGTATATAGAAGTGATATAGAAGTGATCAGATCGTTTTTTGAGTATAAGATTACTGGATATTATTGTAGGCTCTCCTCTTTGTTTCTATAAGTTGAAGGGTAAGGCTTATGGTCAGGTATTATTTATTCCCTTTCATGAGCTACACCTAGGTGCTTGCTTCTTTTTTATTTTATTTCAGTTATTTTGAGACCAGGTTCATTCTGTAGCCCTGGATGGCCTAAACTTGCTAGGTAAACACGACTAGCCTGGAATTCACAGAGGTCTGCCTGCTGTTGCCTCCTAGTAAGTGCTAGGATTAAAAGCATGTGCCTACATGCTTGCTTCTTGAGCAAAGTTGTCTTGAGGCACCACTCACTGAGGTCAAAGACTGAGCCCAGACTATCAGTTCTTGCTCTAAGAGAAGCTGAATGAGTATTGAATTTATTTTTTGTTTTGATCATATGTTAGCCAGATTAGGCATTTGTAAAGTTTAAGAGGTTAGCTTTAATAATTTGATGAAAGATATAGGACCATATTGAGAGTTATACAAACATGCATATCAGGTTTTTTTGTTGTTTTTTATTATCTGGGATTTATTGGGTTAACTAATACTTATAAACAGATTGCAGGTTAAGAACACTTGATTTAATATTCCAGTCTCAAAATATACAATTTTGAAAAAATTCTAATCTTATAATCTTATAACTCTAGAATTTAAGGGAAAAAAACTAATGGATTGATCTATTCAGAACCAAGAAAACTAACTTAACAAATATTAGTGTAAATGTTACGTTATTTCAATAAAACAGATTTTGAAAAATGCTTCTTTCCATTACAATTAATGCCTGTACCTATTCAGAAACACTGTGTGTGTGTGTGTGTGTGTGTGTGCTGTATTTGTGGAAGTCAGAGGACAACTTTTAGGGATCAGTTGTCTTTATCCACCTTGTTTTGAGGCAGGGTCTCTCTTGGTCTGTTGCTATGCTCCCTATGGTAGGCCAGCTGGCCCATGAGCTTCCAGAAGATTTTCCTGTTTCTGTTTCCCATATTGTTAGAGGAGCTGTGGGATCACAGGTGTACCCCCACCTCACCCTACCTCACCCAGCTTTAAACATGATTCCAGCGATCTAGACTCAGGTCATCAGGCTTGAACAGCAAGTGCATCCACCTTCTGCCCTCAGAGACAGAATGCTGATGCTGACTTTCTGTTGGGAAGATTCTGTCCTGAATATAATGTTAATGTTAATGTTACTTCCATTAGTCATATCTGTACTTAATATTTGTAAAAGACTCACAAAACCTTTTAATAGATTAATTTATTTGAACTTCATGGCTTTCTGAGTTATGCAAAGAAAATAATATCTCAGGTTATAGATAAGAAAAATGAAAGTTAAGGAAGGTAAGTAAATAACCCAACAGTACTTGACAAATAGTTATAAATTCAGTATTGGAACTTATTTTTCCATCTTCTTACTCATATTCTTGTCTATCAGTTATATTACAATTATGGGAAGGAGTCTGTCAACTCTAGTGTTGTACTTTCAGATATTTAAAAGTTTGTTTTTAATTATTAGAAGATCAGACTTTTTAACTTAATGCTAGCTCCTGTCCTTTTTAAAGCTAGCTATCAAGATGAAAATATTGTTCATTCTAGTAAAAATGAATTATAGCATTTTGAGACTGTTGATTAGATTAATTTACTGGAAAATTTTTTAAAAGACAAAAAAAAACCCACCCACTGAAAGTCTCATTCCTGCCTATAAAAATTTCATTGCATCGTGAAATGCATTAAAGTATCTTAGCCAGAGAAAAATGAATGCAAAGAACTGCCTGTCAAAACAAAAAAAAATGTCAATCTTCATGGATATGCAGTACTCACTTTATCCATTTCCTGCTTGAAAGTGGCAAACACTTCATTGCTTTTTGACAGTGTACTCTGGAACTCCTCAAACCTTCCTGAGTAGAGGGTGAGCTGTAAATAGAGGAAAGAGCACATCTATTTTAGGGCTACTTTCAGAATGCTTCCAGAAAAAAGATGTCATTGTTCATTATTTGAGAAGAAAAATGATTTAAAAGTATTCTCAATACAGGGTTAGTCATATGTTTAGTTATTCTGTTTACTACAAAATCCATATAGCTTGGTGAACATGATTGAAATTTTTCATTTAAAACTGTAAGTGTGTGTGTGTGTGTGTGTGTGTGTGTGTGTGTGTGTGTGTCTGTGTGTGTCTGTGTGTGTGTCTGTGTCTGTGTCTGTCTGTCTGTCCATCTGTCTGTAGGTGTCTTCTATAGCTCTCCACCTTACCATTTGGAAGATGGTCTCTCAGTGAGTCTAGCCTTTGCCATTTCAGCTGCACTGGTTGGCCAGGAAGGCCCAGGGATCTTCCTGTCCCTTCTGTCCATCAGTGTTGCATTTGTAGGCATGTGTCACCACACCTGGCCTTTACATGGGTGCTTGAGATTCAAACTCAAGTCCTTATTCTTTTACAGCATGCTCTATACCCACTCAGCCATCTTTCCAAATCTGCCGCCATTCCCTCCCTCCAGTTTCTCCCTTATCCCCTCATCAACTTTCCCTTTCCAATTTCTAGTGTTCTATCTTTTGAAGAATCTATCAAATCCTCTTCAATGTTGCCTAAAATGTTTTTTAAAGAAAAATAAAATGATAAGATATGTCATTACAGATTTATTACATCTTAATTTTTGCAAGCATTTATTGATCACTGAACATACACATGTACCACATATATAGATACATGGGACCTGCTTTTGAGGTACTTGCACTTCTAATGGGGAGACAAACTGTGACAACTTGACTATGAGATGTTTAATACAAATTGCCAGGTCAGAACTTCATTTGCCTTGGATTCCCATGTAATCAACCTAAGCTACTAAATAGCTATAATCTTAAATTATGTACTTTCCATGCTCCTGATACAAGAGTAACACATATGTGTTTGTACATGTGTTATGATAATCATTTGCTGAAAACAGCAAATAAAAGATCAAAATCAATCTCAAACGTTCATATCTCTCATAAATATGGAAGGGGGCCTTCGGATATTGTTTGACAGTATTTGTTTGTTTGTTATATGGGTCAGTTGGGGTCACTGGGGTCAGCTGGAGTCAGTGACTTAATCCCATGTAAGACTCTGTTAATGATTCTGTAAAGGTCCTTCCCATTCCTTCCCCCATGAGATAATTTCTGTGCTGATCAATAATTACACAGCAAAGCCCTTCATTAGCGACAGACACAGGAACTGGGACAGATTCACAAGACAGTTTTCAGGCAGGCAACAGATTCTGGCTCTTAAAACAGGTATATCAGGACAACAGAAGACACAGGGGGAATGAAATAGAGAATTCAAACCTAGACTCATTGCACTGGAGTGCTAGCTCAGAGATTAAACACTCGGTTACAACTAAAATGTCAAATATGGACTCACTCTTGGTTAAACGCTAGCAAGGGTCAGTGCTTTGATTTCTTGCCTTCATGGGACACTAATGCAACATTATTATTGACTCTGAGTTTATTATTGTGTTCAAATCGATGCATTTAGTGACAATAGTATAACAATATTTTAGTGTACTTAGTAATAATAGTATAACAATGGTAAAACAAATATTTTAAAATATATGTATTTAGTATGTGGGGTGTGTGTGCATGCACAAGTGTGTATGTGTGTGCATGTGCCATGGCATGCATGTGGAGGGCAGAAGAAAACTCAGGAGTTGTATTTCTCCTGGCTCCTTGTGGGTGGGTGCCATGGAGCAAACCCAAGTTGTCACATTTTTGCCAAAAATTGGGTATCATCCCCTTTATTTTTTACTAGATTATTCCAATTGGCCATTTTTGTTTTGCATTGTTCAAAAATTAAATTGTATTAAAATACACACAAAACTAACTACCCTAACCATTTGAAGTATACAGATCAATATTGTTATGTTGACATTATTGTATACCAGTCTCCAAATGTTTTCATGATGCAAAATGGAAGCAATTCACACATTAAACAACTCCACAGACATCAAACAACGTCTCATATACTCCTTCAAGTGGTCAGGTTTTCATATTCCCCTTTTCATCCTACTGGACTGCTTTGTCATAGACAGCACAGTTTGAGCTTATCAATGGCTCAGGTAACCAGCACCAGCATTATCTTATTCTAACTAGAATCTTGCATTTCTCATCTCATTGGTGGATATTTATATCATAGAGTTGGCCTTCTATTAGTATGTTGTTAATGCATCTTGTGTTTGATTTGATGGGAGCTATTCCCACTTTCACTTGGGGATTTCAGAGAAGTGTGGAAAGGCAATCCAGAAGTCATGCCAGGGACAGAAATAGAAGCTTCTGACTCCATGGTTAAAAGTAACAAAAAGTGCTGTAATATATCACCTTAAAATGAGCCAAAGGGCTCACTTATTTGTTTTTATATTCAGTTATTTGTGTTTGGAGGTTCATGCATGCCACGTGGGCCAATGGAGGACCAAGTATAACTTTCCTGGCTTGGGAGTCAGTTCTTTCTGCCATAAGGGATCTGGGGAATCACCAAGCTTGGCAGTGAGTGCCTGTACCCACTGAGCCAGGTCGAGCTGGTCCTAGTGTGTTCCTTTAACTGAACACCAAGTTCTAATTAGAGTAGGAAATAGAAGGACCTCGACTAGAAATTGTCTTAAGCCTGTGAGACTTGACATGGAAACAAGTCCTGTTCCGGGGTTGTTGCAGAGGGCTCTCCCCTCGCTAGAGATAAGGAGAGGATATTTGTTTCTGTGCTGTCAGATATTGCCAACATTCCATGTTTGTTACTGTCTTCATCCTTACTGATCTGGTGACATGTCATGACAGTTGTATCTAACTGGACATCTATGATGGCTGCTCTGTTGCCTCAGTTTATATAACTGAAAGTCAGACACTGCTTTCCTAAGTGAGAAACATGTTCTCAACTCATCAGTGTTGTCTTATGACTGAGAGTGACTTCAATCTAGGAAAACAAGCAAACTGCCCTTGGTATTTTTCTTGCTCAGGTTTTAAAAGTCAGGCCTTGACCTCCTGCTCTTCCTACTCCTTTAAGGACAATTAGAAACAAGGAATGTGTGTGAGTAGAATTTTGGTTATGTACACTGGATAGGGTCACACATATTTATGTGGAAAGAGCCAGTACTCTGGTCTTAATACCTGAACTCATTCAGGATCAGTGGGTGAGTGGGGAATCAGGAATGCCTGGCAAATACTTCTCAAGTTTGAATGGATATAGTTGAGAAATTGTATCACATCTTTCTGTTTTTATTTATCACACCATTAAGCTCCCAGATCCTTGGTTCTATTGAGATGTTCTGTCAGTAAAGTGCTTGCTCTGCCAGCCTGAGGATCTGACTTAAGATGTCCAGCACCCACATTTTAAAAAAATGTCAGGCATAGAAGAGAGACTTTGGCCTGTGACAGGCAATGTTTCCCAGGCAGGCTCCATGGCAATAGGGGAGATGGATAGGCCTGGCTTTTGCACAGAGCCAGCTGTGCCAGGAGGCCAGGGGTCTATGTTTTTGAGCTTGAAATGGAAACTCTAGTAATCTGACAAAAAAAAAAAAAGCCAATGACACCTGAAGCCAAGTCAGAAGGATTCCAGATTTTCCCACCACTCCTAGTCACTCACTATTGACAAAGTCAGTCTCTGATAACACAGAAACTTGGCCTCCATTTTTCTTATTTTCTTTGTTAGTACGAAAATGTGAAGACTGTTTAGGGTTGACAGTTATAAATGGTGCTTCTGAACACTTTTACATTTCTTTGCACCTTAATTGAGCAATGGGCCAGGTGACAGAAAGGAAATATGATAGGTGGGAAGCTGGACATTAGTGTGCTGAGACTGGCCATTTTAATGGCATCACTTGTCTGCAGACCTCTTGGCTACATAATGTTGCATGAGTTATTTCTTTTTCATAGACATTAATACTCTACTTTCTTAAATATGGTAAGTGTGAAGTTGTTCATGTCTCTTCCCTCCCCATTCCCTGTAAAACTGTGCAGAGAATCTTGGGTCCCAGACCCTTGGTACCAGAAGGAGGCTACCCCAACCCTCCATGTGTTGGTCTCCTCATTTCACCTGAGCCTGCAGCACTGTCTCTTGTTCCTTCAGCACTTTGGCCTGAAGTTTCCACTCTGCCGCCTGGTTCAGCAACTATGAGAAAAGAGAATGCATGGGAAGAAAGTCTAGTTGTTTTTAAAATTGCCATTTTACCATATATGTATAAAACTAACTTCCATCTTGCATCCTTTCCCTTAAGTATTTGTTTTTGGCAGGAGAGACTTTTGCAAAATATATGTTAACAAGGTTAAAGTAAGAAACAATTAGTTTAATATGTTTGATTTCCCAAGGAAACTAGTGGCTTTAACCAAAAATGTAAGGATCCAAATCAAATATCTGTCACACAAAATGTAACCTCTCACTATATGGACCAGTTGCAGGCAGCGAGGCCCAGGTGGGAAAGTATGGAGATGTTCAAGCTAAGGTTGATGATGGTGGTGAGAGAGGATTGCTTTGGAAGCTCCTGCAGTTCTAGGAAAGCTTTCCTATTAGCACATGGTTATTCTCCATACAGCACACATGATGCCTTCAGAAATACACATTTGATCCCTGCTTCTTGACACAGCCCTTCAAACGTGTGTGACTCTCCTCAAGGGGTCACTAAAGAGTAGATCCCCCTTTGGAGAATGTAATCTACGATGTATAGGGCATGGTCAAAATCTGTGTATTTACAATACGTAAGATGGTCTGGCTATCAGTGACCATGCATCACATTTGAGAAACTGAGAAGTTTGAGTGGTTGCTTTGAACTCTGCCTGGTACTAAGAGTCCTCATCTCTCTCCCACATGGAAGCCTTTCATATATAGCCACTGTGGTTAGACATGGTCAAACTGAGAGGGAATGGGCAAACTGTTTTAACTTAAGATGTACACTTATTTGTTAATTTGTTTTGATATATAGCTCTAGTCTTTGGTTTAGGTTTGGATTGTCTGGGCAGAGCTCAGAAGGGTTTTTGGTTTTTTTTTTTTTTTTTTTTAATAAAAGTTATGTATACAATAGGCCATGAAAATTCTAGTTGTTGATGTCCAGGTAATTATGCAGTAACCTAGAGATAGTAGCAAAGTATATACTATTGGTCCAAAGAGAGGCCAGGTACACTGTGAATTACAGGCCTGTAGCCCCCCGGGCCATCTGAGGGTATGGTGGAGGTGTGCTTTGAGGAGCTTTTGGAGCCTTCAGTGCCTGCCCGTTGGATATCTCTGATTGTTCTGCTTGCATGGAGAAACCTCCAGTTTGGACTTGATATCTTACCAGAAGTAAGATGTCATTGCTGCAAGCTGAGAATTGGGGGTGGGGTGGAGTAGAGTGAAGGTGGGGTAGAGGTGGGTGGGGATGGGTAGGCTTTGAGAACTACCAGTGAGGGTTTGTTGTCCAAATATACTTGTTTCTGTCATATTTGAGAGCTGGTTATTTTGCAGTTGCTATGTTAACAGATTAAGTGATTGTAGTCTGGGTTCAGCCAAACAAAAAGCTTCTGGCCAAATGTTAAGTGGTGTCATTTGAGTAACTGGCCTAACAACTGTCTTACAGACCTCTCAGTCTACACACACACACACACACACACACACACACACACACACACACACACACACACACACACACACACA